TCCCTCCCTCTCTCTCTTTCTCCCCCTCTCTCCCCCCTCCCTTTCTCTCCCTCTCTCTCCCTTTTTCTCTCCCTCTCTTTCTCTCCTTTTTCCAGAGGGAGAGAGATGTTTCTTCTTGGGGCTACAGTTTGAGTCACAGTTGTTTCTTTACCCTGTCCCCATCACAAACTTCAGTTCTCAACACTGTGTTACCTTTTCAGTTCAAACCTGTGTCCTTTCCTTTTCGGCTTCGTATGTGTGGCCAGGAAGGAAGGCACCAAAGAAAAGGGGGGAGGAAATATCCCACCCATCTCTTCTCCCTCTCTCCCCCTCCCCATTTGTTTCCTTAATTATTGCACTATCTCTTTTTCCTCTCAATTTTTATCCTTATCTCTCTAGTCACGGTAACAACACTGTTCTCTCCAAATCATCCAGTTTAATAGAGTTTTAAATTTGAGACCAACATCTCCCAATGCCAAACCTGTGTCTCTCTGCTTTCTTACCCTATCTCAAAAAAGAAGCAGATATCTCTTAAGCCATCACCCCAAACTTACACACTGATGTTAGGACTTAGCCCCGAACCCTTTCTTCCACTTCCCGACTATAAATGCTGTCCGGGCCTCCATTCTTTCCACCAGGGTTTCCCCACTTTCCCCAGACTGTTCCACATATTTCAAGGTAAATTCCAGTCCTGCAGAAGACGTCCCCAGGACGCTGCTTGGGCTGTGGAGCATGTAACTTTTGTTCAAATCTTGCAGTGGCCTTTGGTCAGGCTGTAACGGGCGCTCTGGGGACGCATTTCTCCTTCTCCAACCAAAATAAAATGATTTCAGGATGGTTGGGATAAAGCTCACATCTTCCAGGGTTGTTTCTATTTTTTATTTTTTCCTGGGCTCCAGTTTGGGAGAGCAGCTGAGCCACCCAGTTCCTATTATCTCAGCCCTGGGTCCAGCCTCTCTTATGCTCATCACAGATATTTACTGTGGGCCACGTTGGCTCCACATGTGCTACTTAGATATTGAGAGTGGAGACTCAGAATCAGGTTATTTGGGTACACATCCTGGTTCTATCATTTAACCCTCTCCTAGATGTGTGTCTCTATGGAGTCTTGCTCAAATTAATATTGCTGCTACCTTCTGTTTCTTGCTACATAAAATGGAGAAGCACATATCTAATGGAGAAGCACATAGCACTGAAGAACATGTATCAAGGAGCCAGCTTCTCCTCCTGCTAGAAATGTGACCTCTCCATGCCTCCAACAACAGTCTCTTCGTCCCTTAAGTAGAAATAATATTAGTCTTTATTTCCTAGAGTTCTGAGGGTTGGAAGAATTAATATTAATGAAGACTTTACAATAGTGGCTGACATATAATTAGCACAATGTAAGCCTTAACTATTACTGTTATTACTCCACCGTGTTATGAGGATGAAATGATATCATATGGTTAAAATATCATTCTCTATTCATCCATCCATTTATTCATTCGCTTTGCACAGTTATGGGCCAGGCATCGCGGATATAAATGAGAGACAGACACTGTCAATCTTTTTCTTGCTTTTAGGCAATGAATCAAACAGATTATTTCCTGGAAGTGTGCGATTGCCTGGCTCAGTGTTAAGAGAGAAGGGAATAGTATACTGGGCAGGGCAAAAGCACGTTTGATCGCAGGGAATTTCTAACAGTTGAACAGGCATGCCAACTAATAAATTTGAGACTAGAGCTTGTGCACAAGCCTAAGCCCAGTCATGCCTGCGAGTCATTGGGGCCAGGGACAGATCATCTTCATGCTTCTGGAAGGTTCATGAGCACTGGCGGACATGGAAGTGGCCTCTCAGGTGTCAGCCTGTAATCATCTGTTTGTTTTATTTGGCTGACATATTTAGGTATGTATACTCCTCTGAGTTTTGCAGAAAACAACACAATAAAACAGGTACTGTTTTTCTTTGGGTTTCCAAAGGTAGGAACCCCACTTAGTGGCATCCAAGGCCTCATTTTTTTCTGGTTTTTTTTTTGCTTGCTTCCCCCAAATCAGTCGTGGTCCTGGTTACCATAGAGGATTCTGTAGCCCAGCCTAGTAGCTGGGAGAGGAAATCCTCCTATCAGTCTGTTCTGCCCTCAGAGGTGTGTGCCTGCGCGGTCTGGCTTCAGAGCCTCTGACGTTGCTGTCCTGACCAGCTCATTCTAAGTATTATTAACCACGCTGTGACTAAATGTAACTTAACATTCGCAGGCAGAATGCAAAGTGCCCTCCTGAAACTCCCTCCCTGTGCTTTGAGATTAAAACGCCTTTTTTATATGGTTAGAATCTGGAAAGGGAAAGAAAATCTGAGCAAAAATACCTGTTCACAGTGGAGCTGTTGTGTGAAATGAGAGCGGCTACAGCGGATGCTGTCCCGTTTCCCGTTTTCCGAGCAATCACGGCTTCCCTGGGAGACACCTGACAGCAGAGGTAGTTTAAGACCTTCGTGGATGTCAGCAAGCCAAGGCTGAGGCTTCTCTTTTTCCTGGTGTTGGGGCAGCAGACTTGATTTAATCTGTCATTTGATGTCCTCCTCAAAAATAGTGTCTGGGAGTGCTGGGTGGGGGGGCTTTATTTAGAGGCTCTTAGGAGCTTGGCAGTATGTAAATTATGCATGAGTGAGTGTCCCTCAGAGTTCCTGGTGGCCATGATCAGGGGGATTTAAAGATGATTTAGCATTTCCGATGATTTGTAGGAAAGTTGCTGCAGGCCAGTGCCGTGGGGATAACTGAGATTGGCTTCCTTGAGGTTGTGTTAAACAAGATCGGGCCTCCGTGATGCCGTGTCGGGTCTGGGCCTCCATCAGGGAGTTCTGGGATTTTGAAAACAAAAGGATTTATAATTTTAAAAAATACAGTTTAATCTATAGTGTTCTTTCCCCCGGGAATTCTTTCATTCTCCCACACATTCATGTAACCAATATTTATTGAGCACTTTTGCTATTTCAGGAAGCCTGTCAGGCCGGCGAGATAAAATGGTGATCTTGAAAGGCTCTGCGGAAGGACCCGAGAGTTGAGATGCCGGTGAGGAGAAGGGCTCCCTCTGCCAAGATCTGGGCAGCGTTGTAGGCCACGCAGGGGGCGAGTGCAAAGACTCTGAGGCGAGACTGAGCCCCGAGAAGTCTGCTCCTTCCTTGTTTTCCTTCTTCCTCTCTTCCTCCTGTTGTTACCCTTCCAGGAAGATTGGGGAAATGAAGTTTCCTTTCTCAGAATTGGTTTTTCCAGTAGAATGGACAAAACAAACTGTGGAATATCCGTACAACGGGATACTACTTGGAAATCTAAAAGGAATGTACTGCCGATACTTGTAGGTGAGTCTCAAAAGTATTATGCTTAATAAAAGAAGCCAGAACAGAAGGGAGGCATACAGTTTGCTTTTATTTATTTAAATCTTTAAAAATGCAAAATTAATCTGTTGGGACAGAAAGCAAATTCGTGGTTTAGGGATTGCCGGGGGTGAAGGGGGGAGAGATTGTCAAGGCCCAAGGAAACCTCGGAGGATAATGGAAATATTTATTGTCTTGATTGTGCTGATGGTTTTGGTTACATACCCATTTCAAAATTGATCAAATTGTATACTTTACATATGTGCCCTTCTGTATATTTCCACTGTATTTCAATGACATTGATGAAAAGTTGAGTTTCTCTTCTCTGAAACTGTTGGAATCCGATGGAAACCGATGTTGCCTTTGAAGAATTTAAAGGGAAAGCGGAAATTGTCACTGTCATGTTTGAATACTTGAACCCTAAGAGATCTCTGGGGACCCAGTCACATGGATCTGGGAATGAGCACTGGTTGGGCTGGGGATGGGACTAGGCTGGCATTGAACCACCTGCAGTGGTCCTGGGAAGAGCACCAACTTTTCCCTGGATTTCTAGGTAGTAATGACTCTTTCTGTTATTCTGCCTGCAGACAGAAGACCTTTGAATGTCAGGTACTAATCTAGTCTCAAAATTAGATGTCCTATCTGTGGTGAGACAGAAAAGATCTCAGTGACAGGCACATCCAGAGGGAATTCAGGATGCAAGACTAGACCAAGACCACTCAGACCCTCAAACTAACCTATGGCTCGCAGACCAGATGATTTTTTGGTGTGCCGTGGACCACTAGTGGTGAAGGACCATCTTTGGTCAAGAACCAGTTGGTCCCCCCACCCATCCATCACGGACCAATACTTTTGTGGAATACAATAAAAATATATTACTAGAAAAAAATTAGATAGAAAACAGAATCTCACAAACTGTAACCTCAGTCTGGTACTATAGATTACAGGCTCAGCAACCATGCAATTATCTGGCAAATTTCCGAAGTAACTTTTCAGTGCTTACTTTTAATTTGTGTAGTTATAGCATGTCTGACTGATAACAAATAAATCAAAGATCACAGGGTCCATGGGCCACTGTTGGAGTAGCCTTGGAATAGCCCAGAACTTCACAAGCAGTATGGTGGCCAGGCAGGGAGAGTTCTATGAGATAATGGTTCTGGTTAGGGATCCGGGCAGCTGGGTAGGGCCTGGGGCAGCCAGCATCCCCAGGACCAGTTGCCTCTAGTCATGAGAGCTTCCTCCTTTCATCACAGAGAGCTCCACAGATGTTAACAGCTGTCTATGTGAGAGGTTGGGAGGAGCCATTGACCAGTGGTTTTTACACGTCAGTGTGCGTAACAGGAAGGCAAGGCTTCAGTAAAAATGCGTATTTCTGAACTAGAACTTCAGAGCTTCTAATCCAGGAATCTGCATTCACATGGGTACCCTAGTTATGCCATAGTTGACTCCAATGGGTGTGTTCCAAGGACCTCAGGGTCTGGAGCACCTATGTAGCCACAGTGGAGGGAAAGTCAGAGGTGCACTTCTGTCTTCAGATAAATGACCTACGGAAAACCTCGGGGAGCTTCAGACTCTTCAGGACAGCCAGAACATCAGGACCTCCCTATGAAGCATCAGGCCCCAGAAAACGTGCTGAGGGGACATCCCTATTATCACCGGAAACAATCTCACTGCTGACCCCGTGAGAACAGGGCACGGTGGCATGTGGCTGTTGGCCATGGTTCCCATCCCTGTGACTTCCTCAGCAGAGTGGATCTTTTCCAGGTCCTGGCTCTGGAGGCGCAGTCTTGGTCAGAGGCATTTGAAGGCTGCTCCGTAGCTGCAAGGGAAGCTTGGACATCTGGCATTTTCAGCTTGTGGGGCATTCTTTGAGTTGATGAACCAGAAGAATATCAGGTGTCCGTGCAGACTCCTTCACGGCTGTCTTCTTACTCTCCTGGGTATTGCAGAAAGCCCACTTTGAGCATGTGCCAAATAGCAGCACATTCTGTTTTTGGCATCTGGGCCAGGGCCCCTCTTTGAGCCTTGTGCCCTGTATTTGAATGGTATTCTGCCTCCTACACACTCCTCCCAGCTCCCCTCAGCCTCCTGGGCTGGAGGACTTTTACGAAGACCCAAGGGGTGCCGTCTGTCCTCGCAGACTCTGGGATGTTTGCAGTAAAAGGTGAAGGAGAAGGTAGCTGTCTTTGGATATGTGTTTGCTGGGACTTGGGCTCAGCCTGGTACACACATTAGCTCAGTAAATTGTCCTAGGAACTCTCTGGATGAAGTGTCCTATTTTTCCCTTTTACAGATGAGAAAACTGAGGCTTTTGAGTGATCTCCCTGGAATCATGGAGCTTTGAAGCTGGCCCATGCCTAAAACTGGGTGTAGTGACATTTTCATAAGAGAACAAAACTGAATGAAGCTACACGACAAGCTAGGTTTCCAGTTTAGAGAGCCCAGGTGAGGAAGGAATTGGGGGCAGAACATTCGAGTTCACAGCAGGGACACGATCTTGACTCCATTTTGATTTAAGATGTTAGGAAGACGCAGTTTGAGGGTACAGACTTGTTAAAATCTCAGGAGCCGTGGTTGCTTTGTATTTTTTTTATGGGTGGTCTTTAAATGCCTTTCATTTGGAACTGATGAAACTGGTGGAGACCTTAGAGCAAATCTCGCCCCAGCCCAGTGAATTAAACTGTCTTTGAACTTCTAATTCTGGATGAGTTCGTGACTGATGCCAGCTGTCAGTCTGAGTGACCTCCAGCCCCCGATCCTGCCTTAAGTATGATTCAGTAGTTACGATAAGCAGAAACCTCTGCTCCTTATTTTGGCTCTGATGAGTATTGTTGAAAAGTCCCTCTACAGGGGGAGTAGAAATAGCCACAATTCAGGAAAAGATGTCTGAATTAAGTCTCTTATTCTGTCTATTAGCCGCAGGGTTTGACCCATGTCCTGTAATGAGGTAGAGCTTTATTCTCCTTTATTCTCCTCTTATGCAAACCAAGTGACTTTTTTTTTTTGGAGACAGATTCTCACCTTGTCACCCTGGGTAGAGTGCCGTGGCAGCATAGCTCACAGCAACCTCTGACTCTTGGACTCAAGTGATTCTCTTGCCTCAGCCTCCTGAGTAGCTGGGACTACAGGCACCTGTCACAATGCCCAGCTAGTTTTAGAGGTGGGATCTCTGTCTTGCTCAGGCTGGTCTCAAACTCCTGAGCTCAGGTGATCCATCCTCCTCAGCCTCCCAGAGTACTGGATTACAGGCATGACCACTGCTCCCAGTCCAAACCAAGTGACTTTATCTAAGTCACTTGCCTGGGACATGGTAAGAGGCCACCAGACAATCAACCCCTCAAGGGCAGGACACACAATGGGCACTCAATAGTTATTGAATGAATGAATTCAGACAGAGAAGAGGTGTTGCAGTCCATCTGTGCCCACTCAAAAATGATGGTGACAGATGCTAGCAGCCTCGCACTGCAGAGGAGTGCCACAGACTTTACTGTGCTCACAAATAACCTGGGATCTTGCTGGAAAGAAGATTCTGAATTCGAAGATCCAGGGCAGGGCCTGGGCGTCAGAGTTGGGGATGAGCTCTGGGGCCCTGCTGCTGGCAGTCATGGACCTCTCTTTGTGTCGTGAAGGTGCGAGTGGCCAGTGGTCACCCCAGCTCGTGATCCTCCAATAACAGCATGACTCAGCTCTGCAGCTCATCCTGTGTCGGGAAATGTCACCAGCCTGACGCATGGCTGCGGGGGCAGAAGAAGCGGGCTGCCCTTCACTCCTGTGTGTGGCCAGGGCACCTGCCTGCGTGTGGTGAACACAAAGGTTCTGGCTGCCCGTTACTCTGAGTCATTAGCCTGCATGTTGAGGACCGGGCATGTGTTTGGCTTGGGTTAGACACTCAGGAAAAGGAGGCTTCTGCCATGATGATGATAATTGTCTTATGAAATCTCAGATCTCTTTTCCTTCTCTCAGAAGCCTGATGACATGCGTGATAACTGTTCGGGCTCTGGAGTGTTTATCTCTAGATCAATTTCTTTTTTTTAAACTTTAGATTAATATGAAGATACAAATGATTAGGTTACATTGTTTTTATTTGTTAGGTAAAGTCCCTGTTGTAGTTGTGTCTGGCACCCAGGAGGGTACGTTGTGGGATTAGGTGGGAGCACACCAATTCCCCTTGTTCCTCTGCCCTCCCCGCAACTTGAATTTAATTGAGTTTTTCTCTTGTGTGGGTGTGTATTAGTTAGTCTACTGGCTTTGTATTAGTATTGGGTACATCGGATACTCGCTATTCCATTCCTGTGATACTATACTAAGGAGAATCTTCGCCAACTCCATCCAGGTTAATACAAAAAAATGTAAAGCCTCCATCTTTTTTTTTTTTGGCTGGGGCTGGGTTTGAACCCGCCACCTCCAGCATATGGGGCCGGCGCCCTACTCCTTTGAGCCACAGGTGCTGCCCAGCCTCCATCTCTTTTTATGACTGAATAGTATTCCGTGCAGTATACCACAGATTATTAATGCTTTCATGGGTTGATGGACACTTGGGTTGTTTCTACATTTTGGCAATGATAAGTTAGGCGCAAATGTGCTTATGGTAAAATGATTTTTTTTTTCTCCTAGGTAGATGACTAGTAATGGGATTGCAGGATCAAATGGGAGGTCTATTTGGGGTTCTTTGAGGATTCTCCATACTTCCTTACAAAAAGGTTGTATTAGTTTATACCCCCACCAGCAGTGTAAAAGTGTTCCCTTCTCTCCACATCCACACCAGCATCTGCAGCTTTGGGACTCTGTGATGTGGGCCATTCTCACTGGGGTTAGGTGATATCTCAGGGTGGTTTTGATTTGCATTTCTCTAGATCATGTTTGCTTAGAGCAGTGGTTTTCAACGAGGGGCAACTTCCACTCTCAGGGACATTTGGCAATATCTGAAGATGTTTTAGGTTGTCACATTGGGGGATGCTACCAGCACCTAGTGGGTAGAGACCAGGGAGGCTGCTGCATACCCTGCTGGGCTCAGGACAGCCCCCCACAATGAAGAAGCTCGGCACCCCAAATCCCAATAGTGTTAAAGTTGAGGAGCTCTGGCTTGGGTGGTAATTCCTGTTGTGAACACTCTCCCCAGTTCCAACTTGGAATATTCTGTAGGTTCTGTAAACTAACTTCGGAGTCAAAACAAATTTATTACATTATTTTTCTAATCTATAAGGCCCAGAAGAGCTTCTTAGTGGTGTGAGCTCAAACTGGAGGCCAGCGAGGGCTTCCCCCCATATCCTGGCACTGTCCCTCTGCCTTTTACACTAGGATATTGCGGGCGGAACTATTTTATACCCCCATTCCATGTGCGTATGGGGAGGGTGGCAGAAAAGGCCCCCTCAGGTGGATGCCTGTGGTCTCTGTTTCAGAACTGGGTCCCGTTCTTTGGCCATTATTCACTCTGCTCTAATGGAGACCAGCGTGGAATGCCTGCCTGGGACAAGGAGGCAGAATACTTAGATCCTGGAACAGCCAGAATGTTTTTTTTTTTTTTGGTTTTGTTTGTTTGTTTGTTTTTCAAAAAAAAAAAAAAAAGAGGAGGAAAAAAAAATCAGTACTGTAAGCAGCTAGTTTGGCAAAAATAATGTCTTTTCTTCTCCCCCAAATGAGGAAGGACGGATGAAGTCTGGCCTCTCCAAGGTAATTTAATTCGAAATGGGTCTGGATGGCAAGTGGGTCTTCCTAACACCTTCCCTGGAGGAGGGAGGCCACAAACCCTCCAGCAGCAAAGATTCCCCATTCTGCACAACACACAGAGGGGGTGGAATGATCCTTTGAGGTGGCCTGGCCAGCGCCAGCGAGCCTGGGAAAATCTTTTGAACAGCACAAGGAAATGTGGAGGGGGAAGCGGGAGGGCAGGTGGCGGGCGGGCAGCACGTTGCCTCCTGGAAATGGTTTTTCTGCTGCAGGCTTGTGCGGGAGGTGTTCATCACGGAGGGATGAGCCCCGGTTCTGTCTCTGGCAGACTTTTATTGCCAGTGATAGGGACCATCAGTGTCTGGCCTGAGAAATGGCCGAGCTGCAGGCACCTCAGTCAACGCAGCTTATTGATCTGAGCTCCTGCTTCCCCGGAACAAGAGAAGTAACAAAGTCAGGTACTGCTGGCTGGGGGTGGGGGTGGCATTCTGGGGTGCTGCCAGGCCCCAGGGCAAGCCTGCACTTGTTGGTCCCCACAGCCGTCCCCTGCAGAACTGCAGACCCTCACCGTTTGGTGGTCCTGCAGACACCACCCTGGCCTGCTCGTACAGTGACGTTTCAGGAACACGCATGCCTCCTCTGAGTTTTCACCCTTCATCGAAGTTGTGTAGCCGTGATTCATTTCTCCACCATTGACACATCAGGCCTCCATTAAGTAGGATGGAAAGCGATTAATCTGGAGCAGAACACCCGGGAATCCCATTCATAAATAATCCTTTTTCTTGGCACCCCAGCACTGGTGCGCGAAGGAAGATTTACAAGCTCAGAGCCCATAGGCCAAACTTGCAGGAAAAAGTGTGTCCCCAACCCTCTAACTTTGCACATGAGATTAAATGGCTCGTCCCTCTGTGATCAATAGGTTGCCGGAAGCACTGA